AAAAAAGTGAAGGGGGCCTGAACACTTTCCGAATGCACTGTATATTACATACAGGTAGTCCCCAGTTTAAGAACAAGTTTCATTCCCAAGGTCTGTCCTTAAGTGAAATTTGTATATAAGTTGGAACAGCATTATTGTATAATATAGTATAAGTAGTATTGTGTAATGAACTCAAATCATTGTGTATTTAACTCGAATTTTGCTACAGTAGGCTCCATTCTTAACAATGGGTCCTCCTTAAACCGAGCGTTCTTAACCCAGGGGCTCCCTGTGTATAGCATCTGACTGAGGTATTTTTGAATTTGTATTTGTAGTGGGATAAACTAAAGAGGCAGGATAAACAATGGGCAGCTTAACCTCATGAGACTGGGCAATCTTACAAAATTTCAGCTGTTTAAAAGTTAAAACTGGTTCCATTTAGGGAATTTGCCAGTACTGTGGCAGTTCTGGGCGGTATGTTATGTCCTGTGTATGTGGCTTAGGAGCCCCTAATTCCAAACTCTTTTTCACTGACAGCTCTTGCCACTATGAAAGAGGACAGTGATCTCCTTGAGCCTTTTCTGCTTGATGAAGACTATAGAGAGCACAAACTGGTTCGTAGATCTTCCTATCAGAAGAAACCCGGGGAGCTCCTGTTACTAAACTTTGCAGTGTTATGGCATAACATAAAAAGTGGCATCAAATATAATGTGTCCTGTTTCTCCCATAAGCACACAATGACCGGACCTCCACTCAAAAGAAGTACCTGGGTTTTGATTCTGGTCCCTTCCATTCTTCTTACTATTGGAGGAATGTGGGTTTGGCGCAACCTGCCCATTGCAGTAGCTGACCCTAAAAATCTCACTGTTGCAACCCTGCTGGAAGCCAAAAAATCCAAACCACTTTGTGGGGCCATGGAAAAATGCTTGGATAAAGCTATCAAGGAATTCATTTTGGAGCCGGATATTGTAAAGGAGAATGCCAAGATGATCCTTGAGTGTAATGGAACAAGGAAGGAATTTGTGTCAGGTAAAGGGGGAAACTATATTGAAGTGTTCTGGGTAGATGGCCAAACATATTACACGGTCAAAGAAGCCAATTCAAAAGCCCGTATGGCAAGGCTGGGGCGCCAACCTTTACCACTCAGTCTTGCCAGCATCTTGAATGTCTACCAAGAGTTGGCCTCCCATGAAGGCTCAGAGGACCTGCGGCAGTGCCTGAATAAGACGATAGAGGAATTTCCCAAGGAACCCTCAGATGTGCAGAAAAATGCCAAATTGGTGGTGTCATGCGGAGAGAATAATGTTATCTTCTGTTCAGCTGCTGGAAAGAATGAAATCACTGTGTACAAAGATATGCACGGGAAGATTGAATTTAATGTGAAATATACAGGATGGGCTTGGTGGGCCAGTTTATTCACAAGAAGGCAAGTTAAGTAATGGCACCAGAGAAGACAGTGTGGGAAGAAGCTTTGTAGATGTGCTGCAGAGACAAATGATTTATCTTACAAAACTTCAGCTAGCATCTCCTCACCGTACCTTCCCACGTGCATGGTTACCGAGATCGTGCCAGAGTTCTGGGCCTATCAGTCATTTGGTTGATGATAGATTACTGTTTGGTTTCAATAATCAGAATGCTTGATCAGCTCACAGTTCCAGCATTTCTTTTCTCAGTAAATAGATGTAGATGAATCACAATTCCATGTATAAAAAGCAATTAATGGTCAGAGTCTTGCAGGGCAATCACTTTATCTCCACTCCAGGAGTCCACCAACACACTATTATCCATATTGTATTCCTCTGCTCTCTTTTTAATGATTGCTTAAATAAAGCTTTAAATTGTTACTAGATGACAAAAATGTTACTGTCCTTTTTCTCCTGTGATATCCCAGGCTTTTAAAAATCCTCTTCCTACAACTGCTAGGATATGTTTTCGATACAGATCCCACAACATTTATGAAGACAAAAGGCAGACACCCTGGTTTCTCCCTGTCTCAGCCCTTGCTTCCCCACAGTGAAGAGTCTGACAGTGATATTTGGTGGTCCAAGGTGTCAGATGGGGCAGAAAAATCTACCAAAAGACAGATGGTTTGCTTTGGCCACCAGCAAGTTAATGATACAAACCAATGAAGATTCCATAGAGTATCTTAGACAAAATCCTGATTGAAACAGGTCCACAAGATTAATAGAAAGTTAAAGGAGAACTCCATACTGTAGATGAAAACAGGAGAAGAGACATTGGGTAGAAATTAGAGCAAGCAAAAGGATCAAAGAAGACTTTCTCAACAAAGTCTACCACCTCTTCTAAAGCAGGAGAAAAAGTGCAATTTTGTATACTGTTAGCTGGAGCTAACGCTAGAAGGCCAATAGTAGAATTAGAGCTTGACTCAACTAAATACTCCATATAAAATAATTACTCAACTCATTGGAAGAATGTGAAGAACATTCCTTAGCAATTGTCTGTAAAAGTGGATCTAAAGTGATTGTAAAGTAACAACTGTTCGGGAGGCTTCAGTTGAACAGATTTTATATTTTGAAAGTAATATTGTTTTGCCTGCTCCAATAAAAGTACTCTTACATTGATAACATTCCCACTTAACATTTAAAGTTAGGGTTCTAAACAACAGATATTAAAATATTTAATATTGATATTATTCTCTCTCTTTAATGTTCATATCAACAATGTGGTGTTTGAACCTTCATGACCATTATTTTTCATCCTTCAATTCAGGACCAGAAACTGCCTATTCTAATGTATGATACAGTCCTCCTTTCCTTGAATACTGTATGATAGCCCTAGGAGGTTGCTGATTATGATGGGAAATTTCTGCAAAGAAGAGAAATTAGTAATCACCACTCTAAAAAGTGGTTATTTTTTGAAAAACAAAAATGAGAGGTTTATCTGGCCTGGAGGCAGAGCAAATATGTTCTTTATATTTCAGAGTGTACATGTTAATAAACCAGTAGATTTCCCATTAGCAGAAAATAAAAATTTCAGTCTCTAATAGAACATACTCAGTTTTTTTCTTTCATGGGGAAGACAGTTGATAGAACATGGAGAAATCTATATAGGGAAAGCTGTAACGTAATTGTTGGGTGGCTCAGAGATTTGGGGAAAGAGGAATAAGGATTTATCAGAAGGATCTTTGCTTTTCTGGGACTGTTTTGGAAATCATTGTCAATTCCTGTTTTTCTAGATGGTATACTTGCCATTCATGATAAACCACCCCTTTTGCAAGATTTAACTTTCTCCGCACTGAGATTTCACGCTCACGCAGTCTTAGAGATTTTGCTGCCTTTTCTTGGTTGAGCATGTATGTACCGTATTTACTCAACAGAAAAAAGAAGTCCCGCCATTAGACAATTACTTCTAAATAAGGAGGGGTACACATTCACTACTGAAAAAACTTGGATGCCTCTGAATTTTAGCCTGAAAACGCTTGAAAGGCACTGCTAGCCTAGTGAATTTAATTTCTCTATAATGCATAAACTGTGTTTTTCTTTCCTTGTCAGTTCAGAATTTATTCCCTCCTCTCAGCTCTATCAAATTTTGTTCTTCCCTCTGCTTTCCTTCTCTTCATTTCCCAGCTAAACCCTGTCCCTCATCTTACTTCTGGATCAGCGCGTGCATGTACTTTTCTGTTTCTGCGTAACAGTAGTTTGTGTGGGTGAGAAAGAATAATAGAAGGTATAAGCAGATGGGGATCAATTAATTTTCTAAAGGACTATTTTATTTCACAAGCAATTTTATTTAGTTATTAATTCAATTAGTATTTATATTTTTTATTCTGGTCCTGAGGTTTTTTGGAGGATGACTTCTGTCATGTATACATACATGCATACATATATGCATACACATATACAAATGTTACACACATAACCATTTATTAGGGGGGAATCTTCAGAATTAGTTTAGGCTGGAATTGCCAACTCTAGTTTAACAATTTGGAAAGATGTCTGTATTCTTCACAGAAGGGGCATTCATCTTAAACTCAGGGTCAAAATCAACCTTCCTTTTTGAGTAAATACAGTGGGGCAAAAAAGTACTTAGTCAGCCACCAATTGTGCAAGTTCTCCCACTTAAAAAGCCCCAAAACATCACTGCTCTAGAGGAGATCTGCATGGAGGAATGGGCCAAAATACCAGCAACAGTGTGTGAAAACCTTGTGAAGACTTACAGAAAACGTTTGACCTCTGTCATTGCCAACAAAGGAACCAAATACTTATTTTCCACCAACCAAATACTTATTTTCCACCAACCAAATACTTATTTTCCACCAACCAAATACTTATTTTCCACCAACCAAATACTTATTTTCCACCAACCAAATACTTATTTTCCACCAACCAAATACTTATTTTCCACCAACCAAATACTTATTTTCCACCAACCAAATACTTATTTTCCACCAACCAAATACTTATTTTCCACCAACCAAATACTTATTTTCCACCAACCAAATACTTATTTTCCACCAACCAAATACTTATTTTCCACCAACCAAATACTTATTTTCCACCAACCAAATACTTATTTTCCACCAACCAAATACTTATTTTCCACCAACCAAATACTTATTTTCCACCAACCAAATACTTATTTTCCACCATTTTTAAGTGGGAGAACTTGCACAATTGGTGGCTGACTAAATACTTTTTTGCCCCACTAAGTATTTTTAGTGAAAAAAATGAAATATTTACTCTCCTGCCAATTAGGTCAATCAAGGATAAATTTCTTGCCACTCTTTAGCAGTGGAACACCTTAAGAGATATTGAGATTGTGACACAATGTCTGGTAGGTGACAAAACTGAGCAGGCTGCAAAGTTTGCAACAGCAGCTACAGAACTGAACAAGCTTTCTCTTTGGAATTGCAGTTGGCCATAGAAGTGGTAAATGTCCTTAATGGTTATTGGTTTGAAATTTATTTCTGCTGATTTGCAAGTAACTGAAGAATATGTTCATACATTGTAGAGTTTTATTTTGTATATTTATATACTTGCACTGCAAAAATTGTTGGCTAAAATAAATTTCAAGCTGCTTACATTCTGCAATCCCAGAATCTTAGCATCGCACACTACCGAATATTCCTAATGTGGCATATCTCAGCTTTGTTTAAAAAGCATGATGCTTTTAAAAACTTCCAGTCCTTTTTCAAACAGTATTCCAAATCAAATTTGTGAGCTGACTTTTCCATGTAATTTCTATAGTGATCTCAGTAGTTTTTGTTTTATTTGAAGCGTTAGTCTGAAATGGGCTGGTGTTGAACTTCGAAATGTTGTACTTTTGGCTCACCTCAAATCTTAAGTTACCCTGATACTTTCTATGGTGGGAAATCATGATTAGCCCACTATCAATTAAAACAGATTATTTTATTAGTAGCACTGTTACAAGCCAGAACACACATATCTTGCATTAAGCTGTGGGTTGCTGGAGAATTGCCAATGTAGTCATACTCAAGGGCTCCAACCATACAAACCCCTGCACACACAGGCGCACACACATACACACAGTACCATTAGAAGGCAAATAATAGGCCTGTCTAATTCTCAATTCTGAGATGGCCACCAAAACGTATATGGGAGCCATCAAAACATCACTTTGAGTTTGATCAGCCAAATACTAATTTGGGACTGGACAGCAAGCTGAAATCCTTACAGGAATATTTTCTGACATATTCAAGAAAGTTCACATTCAATATATGGTCGCCACTTCAGTTTTTGAACTTCCAAGTCCTTCACCTATTCAGGAGAGCTCCATCTGGGTGTGCACTTATTACACTCACCCTAGTCCTTGACTATCTAGAAGTAGACTTTCTTCTCACTTAATTGCCTGGAAAAGGCAGCCTTTAAAAAAAAAAAAAAATTCAGACTTAACTCACATATGGTGCAGAAGCTCATAAAGGCCACTACCAGCTTCCCCAGAAGAATGGTGGACTTGGTCTTGCTCAACTCACCACCCACTGTCCTACAAATGTCAATTTTTTTAAAAAAAATGGATCCATACATACGAAGTACTCAGAATTTCATACCTAATTTGAAAGTGCAATCTGGTCTAATTGTGAACATGAGAACCGGTTAAAGACCCGTGTTTTCTCCTTCAATTGGTTTCATTTGGAATTCCTTTATCCAGAACAGAACCTTGGTAGCTAAAATGAAGGCAGCTGGGATTCCTTTATCAAGAGGTTATATGATTTTTGTTAGGCTTTTTTAAGGTCAAAGGGGAAGGGAAAAGAATTACATACACACTAATACATGAAGACACATACATAACAGATATCTTCCACTTTATTATTTTGCATGCTGTTTACCACAGATTTGCTGCTGTTATCTTTCCCCGTCTGTATTTTAAAACCATTTTGCCAAAACCCTAACAAAACAAAACAGGCCTTCTTTCAAAGATAGCCTTCCACTGCTGCTGCTGCTGGATGTACTGGGATTAAAGTGGCCACGATGTACAACCTTTGGCCATGCTATATGGCAATCATGAAAGCTGTCCCCTAACAAATATAGAGGACAATAGGTAGCAAAGGCTATTTTGAGAGGGATCAACAGGGATCATGTAGCTAGCAGGATGATGGCACATCACTGCACAGTAAACCCAATTTACCTGGACTCTGAATGTGCAAACAATTTTTGGCTTCGTTCGATGCCCATCTCCTAAAGGGGAGATGCATTTGAAGAACGGTGGCTTGAAAGGGGGGAGAAGGTTCGTGAGAAGTTTTACACTGAAAACACCCTCCTGTGTCTGTTTTGGCTCAGCTGTACCTGCCAACAAACACTAGATTATAGTGAAGATGATGACAGGGGGTTATATTTGTGGTGAAATACTGGAAGACATTCAAATTCCACTGAAAGTTACTAAATTTGACTTCTCTGCATCTCTGTTTTTCTTTTTTTAATCTGTGGCATTTTCCTGACTAGGCAAGTGCCATAAGCTATTTGTCTCACCATCCACAGATAAGATGCCCACCACTCAACTTACCACTGAGGGAGTCTACTTGTATCTGAAGTTACACAGCTGAAATATCACAGGCAAAAAGCTATGAACTGAGAGATATTGTGCACTAGCCCTTCTGATGCAATCACACTGCATTCGAACCATAAGACACGCTGCCAAAGGATACCACCAGAGAGCACTTCCTTCTGTAGCTGAATCAACATTGTGATTTCAGCACTTTTCCTTTCATGGGCCACCTCTGCCAGTTGGTTGCAGCCACAATTGAATAGCAAAGCTTCAGCAATGCACAGAGGCAGCTCTGATTGTGGCAAAGAGAATGGTCTCCCTAGCCTCCTTGACTTATGCTCACTGTGCATTATAGTTTCCTTTTATTCTGCATCCACTCGACCTGCCAGCAAAAACAGGCTGTCGAGAAATAGATCATTTCCACTAATTATACAAGCAAAAGTTAAACATGTATCGTAACTCCTTCAAAAGGAGATGACCTCCCTCCACAGTGCACAGAATGGCCACCTTTTCATTCTCTCACATCTGACCAGCCTTGCCCACAGCCAACGCAATCTGTACGGCTTGTTGCCAAACACTCGACTAACCTTAAGAGATTTTGTTCCCCCCAAATTTAACTGCAATCCAAAATTTCAGAGACTGAAGTTTTAGATTACAGAAAAGTACAAGCTCTTTGCTGTTTCTTGCAAAGGTTTGCCTTCTCCAAACCTTTCCTATACACCTTTAAAGCAGTGTAATGCTGCTTTAATAGCATTAGAAGCCTAATGTGAAACACTCGGTATGAAAGCCCTTCCCTTCTGTGATGCTTTGCTTCTTCTGGTCGGGGATGATGTTGCTTAGTAGGCAGACCACTGATGCCTGCTCTCTTCCCCAGTGAGAAGCTGAGTTATGAAAACTCCATAATTCAAGGGCGAAGCGTAGCAAAGGAAGATGGGGATTTGGTCATCTTGTTATTCCCAGTCCGTGGGTGGCCGGATGACTAGGGGGGCTGCATTCTTGCGCCCAGCACGGATTCCTGGGTAGAAAAAAGGCCAAAGTTTCTCGGTGAAGGTGTCGGTAAATGTGTACATATGGGAGCGGTCCGTCACATTGTAGAAGGAGAGCTTCCCAGCCTCATAGTCCAGGAAGACACCTACTCGCTTAGGCTTGATCGCGACATGCAGCGGAGTGAACGGGGTTGTGGTGGCCGCGTACTTGTCCCCATTGAATAGCCGTACCCGCCAATAGCCAGTCTCTGGTAAAGAGGTTGTCTCCCCTTTGCGGCTGACTGAGTCATTGCACACCCCAAGGGCCCAGTGAGTCTTTTCGCCCACCTCTACCTCCCAGTAGTGGCGGCCCGAAGTGAAGCCTTCGGTGGCCAGCACACAAGGGTAGATGGTAAAACGTCTCGGGCTATCGGGCAGATCTCGCAAGCGCTGCTCCACAAATTTGACGCTCTTGCGGTCCTCAGAGAGCACTAAGTTGGGGTGAGCCGTTTCAGGATCAAGAGTCAAATCTCCTGCAGGAAAAAAGGACATATATCTGTCATTTCTTTCATGGTTAGACCATTACAGTATATCCTCCCTCCATTTGGCTTGCTTTTTTCCCCCCAGCCAATTCAGAATATAGCCATTAAGACTCTCTCAGATATGGGTACGTCTGCCAGCTCCCCAGAATTGTCTTCCTCAATAGCAACGTTCAGCAGATTCTTTTAAAAAATGAAATGAGGCTGCAAATATTTTAAAAAGTAGCAGCATCCTTAACCAGCACGTGCGCTTCAATCTCTAAGCAGGCTTGGAAAGTCTATGGCCTACACAGGTTCTCTAAACACTTTTTATTTCCAGGCCTGGAGTCTTTCTCCAACTGAATGCCAGGGACACAAACTATCTCTTCAAAATTATTATATCCAAACACGTTTAAAAAGTGAGGTTTTAAGCTAGTCTCCCAGCCACTTGACTCACGAGTTGACTGCAAGGACCTTCAGGTCCTGCAGTCTCCTCATGAGGAACAGCTGTCTGGAGTGCAGGTGAGTGATCTCTCGGTCTCTCCTTATCCGGAGAGACTCCACTGGCCCAAACTTGTCACCTGGCCACTGGTCTGCATTGCAACGTTGTCTCTGTTTCCTCGGAAACATCTTACTTCTCCATAGTCCTCACCTGGAGGCTGCTTATTTAGCTTTATAAAAGAATGGCTCGGTGAAAAGGTCACTTTACCACTGTCATGCTGCCTACAGCCCTTGGAAGCAGGAAAAAAAACCCTGCAACCTTCAGAAGCATAAAAGGCTCAAAAAATGTATTTAAAACATTTGCCTAGTGCTACAGGCACATCAGAGTGAGGACATGGAGGACGTTCCTTTTATGAGGCATGCCCCAGCCAAAAAAGATTTCAACTACATGCCTTACTTTAGGAATGTCTGAAGAGAATTGCAACACAGAGACAAGGTAGGGTGCAAGCAAGCACTCCTTTCTATACTCCAGTCCCAACCAAAGATTCAACACTTTGAATTTTGCTTAGAAATGCATTAGGAGGCAGTGGGACTTCTAAAGTACTGATAGAATGTATTCTGCCAAGCAAATCCCAGTTACCATCCTAGCAGATATTTTATTTATTACTTAGTAATATTTTGCTTACTACCTGCTGTTTCCAAGTACAATACAATACAAGAGTCCGGGGATGGGCAATGTGTGATCTCACCCTCCCCATATGCACACTGCTGAACTCCAACTTCCCTCAGCCCTAGACTGTTTGGCCATTGGGGGAGGATGATGGGAGTTACAGTATCCATTGCTACTGTAGTCTTCTGCTGTAAAGATCAGCAAAGGATTCATGAGGGTCATGGTCAAATTTTATGTAGTGCAAAGAATACTTAAAAGAGACGTTGCTTACCCTTCCAAGCTTCTCCACAGCCTACTGACTGCAGAGCTTTGAGAAACCATCAATTTTCTGTAACTGACAGGGTTCATGGGACACACAAAGCCATGGTTTACTGAAGACAACTAGTGAATAAGTCAAGTTGACTGGGTTCATACAACATACTAAGCTCCAACTAGACAATGTTGAATGGCTTAACTGATGTGATACCACAACACTTCTGCATTCCCTTCTCTCATAGTGTGATAGTGTGAAGTCAAATGGTTTCAAATTCAGATTGCTAAAAGATGGTACAAAGGCTAAACTATAAATTGGAAGAGGCTATTCTGTAATTGTGGAAAACTCTGTTGAAAAGCACCAGCAAGGTATCCACATAAATGAGTTAGACTCCAGAACAAAGGACAATAGCAGATCATCATCTTTTTTGTTAGACCCAGGAAGAGCAATTATGCTAATACCATTCTTTATTACCATGCTTCTCTCATTTAGTTACTATTAAAAAGGAACAGGGCTCTTCTCAACTTAAACTAGATCAGGACTGATTAAACTTGGCATTGGAATCCTTACCCTGGTTTGACACACCTACATAGATAAAAGAAAAATCAATGCTTTACTAAGCTTTAGGCAGGCAAGGTAAGTAGCAACAGAAAACACAGGCAGCAATCTTGCCAGAGATATCCACAAGTATCTGTAATTCACTAATATGGTGATTTATAAGCCCTGTACCTAGGGCGGAGGGTAAGTACTCAGAAAGGCTGAGGAGAGGACTCTTGAAAGCATAGTCCTTCCTGGAGCTGATAAAGAATCTATAGTGTCTCATAAACACTGAGATCAAGCAGCTCATGATACTACCCTGATGCAGCAGCTTCACACTCAGTTTGCTTAGCTATCTCAGAACAAAGCTTCAGAGTTTCAAGAATGCATCTCCAAAAGCACCAGTTTTTCCTTCCCACAGAAAGGAAAAAGCTACAAGATGCAATGCAACGAAGATAAATTTTAGATTGTAGCGTGAGTGCTGTAAATTGTTGAACAGGTTAGTGAAATAAACCGAAACAACTAAATATGGTTTATATGGAAAGGAGAAAAAACTTTAGAGAGGTAAGAAATATCTGGCTGAAAGACCAGTTTGGATAGAGGAATAATTCTGAGCAGAAATCTCCCTCACCCTGCAAGTTGAAGCAACTGCCATGAGGGGGGCAATTTTCGCCAAGAGGAATTGTAAGAAACAAGTTTTCAATTCAAAGGGTTTAAATGTAAATGCTGAAAGTGCTAAGGACAGACTCCAGGCTAAAAACAAA